TAGTGTGAACATAACCAATTCTCTATTTTGCGTCAGTATAGCCTCTTTGCAGCCTCGTTCCCAGTCGTCATCGGCGATTTTGGATGTGACGTCACGGCTGACGTCACCTATCAAGTTTGTCGGGAAAATTCGACTAGGACGCCTCGCGCTCGGTTCCAAGCCTCCTCTGGTCACTCGGATAGCGCGAACAGGCCTGGGTACGAGGCTGGCCTCTATGAAAAACTTGTGAGTGTGAAAAGATGTAAATGACAATACAAATCCAGTTATGATTAAATTCTTCTTTATTACACTTAGTCTCCTATGGTTTTAAGGTATAGGGTTTCTTAGGCCCAGTTCTCTCAGCTCCGTAGATTTTCCCGCTAGGGATTCCAATAAAAATACAATACTACTACTATTACTACTACTAATAATAATAGTAAAATTATTAAGCGCGCTTTTCCCGGCCTCCCTGCGACACAAAAAGGCCTCTGCGGAACTACAGTAGGAGTGAAGGCCTGTTTCAAACGTCGCATTACAACTGTAAATACGCGTGAACATTATATTTTCCTCGTTAGCATTATATTCGCCAAATGTTAAATGCGACGTTTGAGCCGGGCCTTACGTCTTATATCTATATCAAAAATTGCAATGACTCTGCTAATTACGGGTTAACCGCACTGAGGCTGTCTTTTCCCATAGCAATATATAAAACTATTTTGTCCTTTTCAATGAAGTAAAAAATATATACAAAATTATACTATAAATGACGATAAAAAGCCAGCCGTCTGGTATTAAGCCTGGCCTCAGTTTTAACCTTTTTCATGACATGAATAAAATATTTTTAAGCGTAAATTCGCAGTTTCTTTCCAAATAATATATCCCTTTAATACCTTGCTTTACTAGAAATACAATACTACAATAAAACTTAAATTGACAAATTTCGTGATCGGAAGTAAGCCTCATTTTATCCAAAAGCAAAGCCGGGCTCGCGAGTTCACCTATTTGGAGTATTTCATTTAAAATGTCAGTCGAGTTTAAGAATGACATTTACGACAAATGGGAAACGTCAGTTCTTACCAAAGTAAAATATTAGTGCTTTCAAATCAGGTTCAATCATAAGGATTATTTAGCACACTATTTAGTATGTTTCCTAATTTGAGAGGTTATCATCTTGTCGTTTCCCGTAAACGTGATTATAAATTCCTATAATATCAAAACGAATGACGAACACGAACGTATGTGGAATTATTTAAAAAACCTATAATATGTACTATAACCAACGATGACACACATCTTAAAGAAAATTACCTTTTTTTCCGCAACCTAAACTCGCGCTTACTTGTTATCAATCATTGTCTCCTGCTGGCACTGTGGCATCATCAAACAAGCTACCCAAGTTTTTTCTGTCGAAATTTTCGGCTGCGTTACAAACGAATGCTCCTGAATAATTTCCTGAATTATTTCTAAATCACCATTTGCACCGTTTACAAATTGAAATCAAGTCTTAACTCACTGTATCAAGAATTGTTGTGCAACAGGCCCCACGATCATAAAGAAGTTTACGAAAAAAGGGCCACTAAGAGATAAGCTAATTAATGACAGACAATGTAGTTGTTTTATCATTTACCTTAAAGCTACTGAGCAGTACTTTAGAATAATACCATTTTTTTTTCTGTATAGTTTCAGTTTGGGGTACTCGTGGTAGTGAACTACTGGCTAAATGAGGGGGGTGAATAGGAAAACGGATTGGCGGATTTCCAAATATTTTTCACCGGATTTCGGATTCAAAGCGAGATTTTAACGGATTTCCGGATCCTGCAATTGCAGCGGATTGCAGATTCATCCATTATTGGGGCCCGGATATTGGACTTTGCATGTAATTAAATTATTTTTGCCCGAATTTCGGATTCAGGGCGAAATTTAACGGCGGATTTGGTTAATAAATCATGACGGATCGGCGGGTTTGCATACCGCTATTCACCCCCCTTCTAAATTACCCTGAGTGCGAGCCCATTTATGCTTATATATACATTTACCGCATATTGATCACCTTTGGCTATCTTGTTTCTGACACTTCAGAAGATCTTTCAGAGTTCATAGCTTCACTTTGTCTGTTTTGTGACTCAACTGATAAAGTTCCATCTAAGTCCTCTGATTCATCCGTTTCTACCAAATTTGGCAGCGATCCTGACGAATGACTATCCTCAGAGATTTGACTACCTCGCATGGATACATCTGTTATTACTGAAGTAGGACGCAATGAACTTATTTGAACAATTGTTGTGTTATTGTCTAAACTTGTCGATGGTGTTGAGCCTACTGACACCGGAGCTTCTAAATCTCCCGGATGAAGCGACAAAACTGGGGTGGAAGCTCCCGTATGTTGCGATAAAGCCGGTTCTGTTATCTCGGAACGTTCCTGTGATTCCGTTGACGAGAAAACAGGAAGTGACGTAGCATCTGCTGTCGGGGTGTATTCCGGTGGTGGTTCATCCGGGACATTAGTTACCAGTGTCTGCTCATTCGGGGCGACTGTGGGATTAGTGAGTCCATCAGGGTACAGTTCAGCGTAATTCTGAGAAAAAAACGAACAAACAAAAATTATGCTGACTTGCAAGCACAATGCCGAAAAACATGTTATTTCTTAAGTGTAACCCTTTAACTCCCAGAAGTGATCGGCATATAACTTCTCCTTTTTATATCCTATGCATTGTCCAACACATAGGTGGTAAGAATGGGAAAATGTACCAGCTAAGGGATGCCATATTGATATAACTCCAAATTCTCTCAACTAATGCACAATAAAATGCATAGCAGCCAAGAATAACTACTCAGATCTTGGGTTAAGGCCATTGCCCTTTTTTTCCTCCATTCAGCGTTGTCCGATTGAAACTAATTTTTGGCATTCTCAAAAAAAGTAACAATGTAGTTATTATTACATACGTTCTAATTGATTCTTTTAATCTGAAAAATTCAAGCATTGTAACAGGATTACGTATCACTAGCTACTACTTTTAACTTTAATAACTGAGAAAACGACACACTTTCTTCTACAGCTCAAATCCCACAGTTCAAGTCCCTCCTATTCCCAAACTTCTTGCAACAATATTTTTTCCCATCTGATCATGACCGACTGACTGACCCAAAATCACGAGACAAATTTGACCCTAAAAGAAAAGTAAAAAAGGGAGGGAGGCCTAGGTCAAGTTGACGAAACTTACCGGTAATTTATAGGGAGTATAAAATTGAAAATCTGAGTTCTGGATCAAATGAATCGGCTGTATCGTCCCAGGTGTTCCTGGAAACACTAGCTCGGCCCAGGTCTGCCTGGTCAGTCCAAGCTCCGCAACAGGAATTGTACCACTACTTATATGGCCTCGGCCTGATGCTGCGGACCTGGTACGGCGATTGTTTTGTCCCGCATTGGTCGCCTACAGTCATGGTAAAAAAAAAGGACAGCATATTTTAGGAGAAAATCATCTGAAAACTGAACAGAGTTTATACAAGAATCATGACCACACCCCTTCCTACCAAGTGGTGGATATGTTGTGGTTAAATTTTATCCTTGGTTTAAATTTTATTTTCCTTTGTTTTGGGGCATAGAAATGTATGATAATGACTTTCAAACAAACGGAAATAGAATTAAACCAAGGATAAAATTGAGCCACAACTGATATGTTGCGAACTTTTTTCATGGTGTACATGTACAATGTAGATAACTAAAACCACACTGTTTTAGGCCTGTTGGTACTGAATACAGGTCAGAGCACAGGTCACCTGCTACAAATAAATACACAAGACAAAAGTGTCTCATGGCCCTCACTTTTTATCAAAAATGTAGATCCAGGGGTCAATAATTACAAGTGCAATTTACGAGTGTAGCCATTGTGTTAGCGTCTGAAAACAACAGATATACTGTATTGTAAATTGCACTTGTAAAAGTTTTAGTAAATTGGCAATTCAAGGGTTTGTGTCATGGTGAGTTCTATATTTTTTGTCAAAGCTGAACTGAAATTTGAACTAAGCACACTCAGTCATCGTTCTTCATACTCTAAAAGAAGGAGTATATCAGATGATTGAACTAAAGAGAAAACAAAGCATTATCAGTTTTGGTCATGCACAGGAATTTAACTTGAAATGGTTGACCCAGGTTCTCAATTTGCAATCTGCTGGCATCCTGGTCATAGAATGCCAAAGACATACACTTGCAGTTTATGTATAGCCGCAGAGTAATTTCAAATAGAACTAAACTATTTTTCAGGTTACATGTACTCTAAGATTCCTCTGTGTTTTAGAAATTGTGACATACACAGTACATGTATCTCCTAACTATTAACAAGATATTTCCCCAATGAGTAAACTGCTAATATTACCTGTCCATTGCTGGAAGCAAGATCACGGCAAACATACACTGACACTGCATTTAATAGAACGTCGACTATGATGACGACGAGCAGACAACTGTAGACGGCTAATCCAACCCTGCCTTCTTTATTTCTGTCCACAAAGTACTGGTCTGGTTTATAGTAATCTTCATGATTCTCTCTGCCAAAGACACCTTTGCCCTTGTAATAATCACGGGTCACAGACGACTCAAACTGGAAATGCTTCAAGACCACAGTGCCAATTAAAATGGAGCAAATCGTTAGGATAACAATGGCAACCACACAGCAGCCCAGGAATGTGCCAATCTGTGAAGAGTGGAGGTAAAACTTGCATTATCAATCTTACAGTATTTTGTGTTACATCCAACTTTTATTCATTTCTTTCTTTAAATATTTATTTACAAGCTTTACCAAAAGGCCTGAGTAAGCTCCAATGAAAGAGAACATTACTTTCTCAAAGCTGCTATTCTGTGGACTAAATCCACAGAAGCACTCAAAAATCTCTCATCTATATATTTCTTATAAACAATTCTCTGCTTAACTTGAAGGATGCCAAAATAGTCTCAAATTGACAACTACAAATCATCCTATCTGGTGTATTGTAGCATTGGGAACATTGAAAGGCTGTAAACTGAAGGATTATTTTGCATTCAGAAAGGCAAGATCTGTTACTGCAGAAGGTTGATAATGATGTGTTCGCATTAGTGAGGTTGATTGGGTAAGAAACAAGTGTCCGTTGTCCGGATTAACAGGTGTGTCTGTATTAAGTGGATTGAATTTAGAGAAAATGTAAGGGCTTTCTCCCCAGGGAAAAATAATAGAAAAGCGTCAATAATAACAAGGTGTCTGTATTAAGTGAGTGTCCATAAAGCAGGGTAAATACAGTCAACTCTTTCTGAGACGGATGCCTTGGGGACCTGCAGTATGTGTCCGTCTTCGACAGATGTCCGTCTTACACAGAGTCAAATAAAGGGAGTAAAGAAAGGGAGGGACCATCTCTGAGTGTCTGCTTTACAGAGGTGAGAGAGAGTAGACTGCACATGTATAAAGTTTTTTCCTGAAGTGGACCACTGCATGAACAGTCAATTTTCTGGAGATCTAAAGTGTTCCACCTTCTTTGGGCTCTGCAGTGAAATTTGACCTGACATTTACAAGAGTATGCAGGGCTAAGGTGGATAAAAGGTGCTAGCAGGGGAAAGAAAACAAAATGACCTCTACAGTACCAGATCCAATTTCTTCTTATGATATTCCTGCTTATTGGCGCACAAAGTCATGACAGTAATTAGGCTGTGATGTTCCCACTGCCAGCACAGAAATCGATCTGATACCATGTGAACATCCAAAATGGCATGAACTGTGGCTGAAATAAGCGCCTCTCTTGTATAAGCGCCCCACCCGTAACAGGGAAAATGAAATAAGCACCAAGGCAATTAATTGATCATTTACGATACAATCTTCCTATATAGTCATGTAAGCCTTGAGTGCCTGCTCATATATTACTTGAATCTATACAGTCATGTGTAATTAATGTTTTACCCTGCAATAATTCCCTGGCTTCGCTGCACTTGCCATCCCAGCCAGACCTGTCAGAAGAATCTGAAAAAAAAAAAATATAAAAATACATACAAGATAGATAGATAGATGATTTATTTAACTTGCTCAATTCAACATACTTCTATGAAAATACAGATTAAATTTACATGGACAATTAATACAATTTAAATAAGGAATAAAAATCATAGTAACATCAAGTAGAGAGCGAGTTGAAGTCATCCAATTAGCAAAGGCTAATCTAGTGGATGACCCCAAAGGGAGGAAGGCAAGCAGAGATGGAGAACACACTGCATGTTTCCACACTACAATACTGGATTGATTTTTGTGCCACCACAAAAAAGAATCCAATACAGAGTGAGCATTTCATGATCCCAGAAAAAGTATGGAAGGAAACTGCCCAATTAATTAAGGCTGTTTGCATCACTGATGCAAAGGATTGTTTCTGAAGTAAAGCCAATGATTTCCATAGTTGCAGTATCAAAAAGTTCAAAACTTGAACCATTTTCTGTACTTAATATAAAAAGTGTACTAAATTTGATGCAGTTCTTACATACACATAGAAACATGCACAGTGTATTTCTTTGAAAAAGCAGGCCAGTAAATATCAAACAACCTCTATAAAAAATTGCTTTCCGAAAAACTTTTCACAAAGATGATCAAATTAATTCTTTATTTTTTGAACTGAATTTTCCTCAACATTTTCAATGAATTATGAAAAGCATGTCCTTAAAGTGTGTATTTATCATTACCCTCAAGTAACATAAGAGCACATTAAATTGCTTTGTTAAGTTCTATTTTATGGCAAACCACATTTGATGAGAAAAGTAATATATGCTAATATCTTGACTGCTTGACCTGCTTTTCATTAAAATTAATGATTCTCTTAACATGGGCAGGCAAAATGAAGGAAACAACAACACATTGGTTTAAAATAAATAAATAAATAAACTATTGTTTTGGTTTTTGTGGTCAACCTTGAGTAATACTGTGACGTCAGTAGAAAATTACATAATATAGACTGCAGTCGTACTAGGTCAAAACTGCACATAACAAGCTAATATACACCTAAATCCCATTTATTTGTTTAGATATTAATACTGCAATTCCATGGCAACCAATTGCAGTCACTTCACTTTGAAGAACATTTTTAATTTCAGCTGCAATTATAAGAGATTAATGAACCTGTAATTTATAGAGTTTGACATTAACGCTTCACCAAACAGCTTAACTTGCATGAAAATATTTGAGTTAATTATCATGTAAACCAATGGAGATATTGTATTGTTTGTATATGATGCTCATTCATGAAGACTGTAAAGTTTGGCCCCTGTGACAAGTTGCAGATAGGATTGTGAGAAAACTTGCAGTTCTGGGCACTGCTTTTAAAAAAATTACAAAAACTGTCAGTACGCTTTGTTCTGAAAGTTCTGCAAGGTGAACTCGACTGAATTAAGTTACAGAAAACATAACAAAAAATACAAAGTAATAATAAAAAAAACACGTAAACAGTGTACATTTTATGTATACATTTTTTGGTGGCTCAAAAATATTTATAAATTATTCACGATAAATATGAACCTCACTGTAAATGAATTTAAAAAATTCCAAGCCAGCAAGTTCCTCTAACTGATCACCAGCTAACATTGTGAAATTGCACCTTTACTGTCATGTATGTAAGAGAGGAATGCTACAAGTAGACAGGTCAACCTGTCAGGGGAAATATTGTAACAGTTTTGCAAAATATTGGGTTCAATGTTCTACGTGACTGAAACAAACTGAAGGGTTTGACGTAACATGCATAAGTTAAATTATTGTTTCCAATTTTGCATGGCGTTACCTCAAAATCAAGTATTTGTGGCTGAATAATAGAAGGATTCAAAACTGAACTTGACATCAACTAAAGATAAGCTTACACATATTTTCAAAGGCCTTACCATGTTGAAGCAATGTAATAAAAAACGCAACTATAACTTTTCAAGCAAAAACTACAGCTGTTCAAAAACAAAAGAAGCTAGCTGTAGCGTTGTGTTCTCTGTGGGTGATATTCAAGGCTAATTTTGACAATACTTCAAGCCAAACGTGAATTTAACAAAAACAAAAACACTGCTGAATCACGGAACAAAATTTGGAGTTTTGGATAAATTTATAAAGATCAAGCTTAAATTCGTGTTGAAAGATGATCAAAGTGCTTTATAAGCGTATATTTTAACAACCGGAAAAAGAAGCTAAAAGTACGCACAAGATGTAGAGTCCGTGCCTAAATAACAACTATGAGATCGTCTTTATGATTCTGTCTCAGCACAATCAGATGACTATGCATGAATTTTCAGATCAAACATATGCTTAATATAGGAAGCATCATGGAAACATAGTCTCCAACTTGGAGGTCGACACACAGAAATCTCAAGACATTGCCGTCATACGAGCTCCATAGCATTGTTATGGATATTTGTAGCGCTTTATAAGCTTACATACCCAAGCGCCAAGCCAAATTCCCATTCCGAAGACTCCAATGTAGTACTCCGTGACATTCATCGAAGCAATTCCTATCACAATGGCGAGAATGCCAAGAATAACATGACAGGGCGAGAGAACTCTTAGCGTTTTCGCACTTGTAGCCATCTGAACTACTCACAAAAATCCACATGGAGTATGTCTATGCAAGAAAAGCCAGATATTGCGAGCAAATACAAAACCACGACACACTTCCGATCACCATGTTGTTTTAAAAATAGTACGTGCTGAAGCAGGCGTTGAAGCAACTGCGGAACTAATTTGGGTTTGAGGAGCCCAGTCCTCCCCGTTTATCGAAGGCTGCATTCCTGCTGCAAGCCCACCAATTAAATAGACCTCTTTTAAACCTGCCATCAGGCGTTCCTTCTTTTGTTTCCGACTTTCACTTTCAGGGGAATTTACCTCTTTGTCATTTTTATAAATTATGCTGTCACGAGAATAGTACGAACTTTGAATGAAACATGTAGAGTTCTCCAGTTGTGTCTCTATTTTGAAACACTGTTTTTGTGTTTTGAAATGAGCCAACCCCAAAACAGCCCCTCTCTCTTCCGCACCGGAGGCCTCTTTGAGTTGTAGGGAGGCTGGTGAGAAAGAAAAAGAAAGCTCGCGGGGCTCGATGGGAAGATTTTTATTGGGATACCCAGCGAGAATCTCTTCCTGGAGGAGAGAGAAACAGCCCTGTTTGTCTAGCCTCCCCCGCAGACCCTCTTCGGCGTGCATCAAGCGTTCCTTTACTGTTAGTCAGGATTCATTATTTTCCAATGCACCGCTTAATGGCAATTTATCCTGTATCATTTGGGACGATAGTGGCAATAAGAGAGTCATCCAAACAGTGATGATTTTGACTCTACAGAAATAATTAAAAAAACTAAACCTGACTAAACAACAACAACAACAGCAGCAACAAACAATTATTTTACAGAGTAGGTTAGATCAGTTGTGCTTCTGACAAACATACGTACGATTGTCCTAAATTCTTTTACATTTCTCTGCTTTGTTGCTGTTAGGGTTTTTTTGGTCTTTTATTTGACTTATGTTTTACCATGATTAGCTATGGCTTATTATCGTGGTTTTTTTGGGGAGTGGTCCCGGGTGTTCGGGTGTTCCGGGTCTTTGAATAAGCCGTTTTTATTAGCACACGTGACACACAGACGAAAAAAAAAGCAGCAACAACAACTCTGCACGTGAATCACGTGAATCTGTCCGTCTCTTTGTCGTGCCTATCACGTGAAGTTTTCAAATGTACAGATTTTTCGTCACTTTCGTCACAGATGGTTCGATTTGGAAACTTCACGTGGTACACACGTGCGCTGAGGGAAAGAAATGCCCTAAAATTGGTGATGCACGTGCAGAGTTGTTGTTGTTGCTACAGTGCCGGTTTAGTTTTTTCAGTTTGCTTATAAAGCTCTGGTGAAACAATCTTGAACAACACAGAAAGTCGCTGTATTCAAAAATAAACTATTGTAATCTATAAGTTAAAATATTACTGAAAAACCCCAACAGAAACCCTAACAGCAGCCAGCACAACTTACTATCAAAACACACCTCTTCCTAAACTTGTTTACCGTCCCTAGCTAAGAATTGACCTCTACCAAAGGCTGAAAGAATTTGACAGTGTAAAGAGAGAAGGGCGTATTTTAGTAAGCAAAACCTTGAGACCAACTGCCTGAAGGGGAATAGGCATAATTCAGCAACCACTCGGATTAGGTTTTCTGAATATTTATCGTTAAAATGTCTGATCATGGGGACCTTTTCTTTAAGTGGTGGATATACATCACACCCCTTCGAACGTAAAATAAGGTAAAGTAAAGATTATCGCCTCAGTGGCAGTTGTGATCGCAAATTAAGCAATTGTGCAAAGACTCCTAAATGATTTCATAATTTTGCATTTGGAAGTGCTACTCTGTTCCTTTTTCTTTGTGCACCTTCACGCCAGGGTCGCAACGTCTTTGCTTGACGAGAAAGTAATAAAGGTAACATGACGACCCGTGAAGAAAATAAAGTAGCCAAAATTTTAGACAGGGGAGAAAGAGAGATCAAAATCTCTTTTTGACCTCATTCTGAGAACACCTTGTGGAAAGCAATTTTTTTCAGTGATGTAACCCTTCATGGAGAAGCTGTTTACCAGTTCAATTTGGAAATCAAATTATATCCTAGACCAGTTGATTAAAATATTTTATAAAATGCATGACATCTCTTAAGGATCATAAAGTCAATGTGGAAAAAATAGACTCGACAAGGCCTATCATGCTATTAGATATATGCGCCCTGTCTACCCGACTGAACTGGCTGCCGTTTGAGACTGATACTCTGATGCCTTTTCAAAGCAACCACTGATTAGCAGCCAAGATAACAAACCTTTACGCTAAAGCTTAGAAACTATCTGGGTAATGATCATACTACTGAATGATAATCGTAACTGCTATAACATGTATGGTTACATACCCAAACACCCAGCCATATGCCCATTGCAAACACTCCACTATAGTAATCCGTGACATTTATCGTAGATATCCCTGTAAATATGGCACAAAATCCAAGGAAAACCTGGCTAAAGCAGAGCACTTGCAACAATGCCATCTTCGTTGCCATCACACAAGCAAGGTTGGATATCGAAAAACACTGAGAGATGTAGTACGATTAAAAGACAATTCATATTTGAACAGGAATGCTTCATTGTTCTCCAGCCTGTCCTGGCCAGGGGGTATTCTCTTATTTTAATATGTTACGTAAGGTATGATTTTGAGCTTTTTTTGGTCTAAAATTGGTTAAGGCTTTGTGCTTTCTACTAAAGTGTCTGAACTCGAGTATGAAATCATATTCTTTCGTTTAGAAGAGGGCCGGAGGGTTTCAGACGCGGCATAACGTTAATCCCGCTCGAGTTTTCTAGGGGTATGGAAAGCTTGATACATTTTAAAGTATCATTATGTAATCATGGGCGTCATCGTAATCGCAACCGTACCACACAGAACACAAAGTAATAAAAATTATCTATTTTGATGTATTTTGAAAAGTTTTAGAAGAGTGATTTAAATGGCTTGATAAACCTTTACCGTTTTCCTGTAGACAGAGGTATTAGCTCAAGGATTATGTCACGCCAAGCTAGAGGCCTTATTAACGAATTGATAATAAATTTTAAGTTCCTTTTGCAACATTGTAACATTTTGTTACAGTCATGCAAATAAAGATTATTGTTGCTTTTGTTGGTGTGCACACCAGGGGGCCATTTCTTGAAAGTCTCGGTAACTTTTCGGGCCCAAAACCAAAGTTTGATATTCAAATCAAAATCTAAAGAACCAAAGCGCGCCTAGCTAACAAACCAGTCCAGTTTGTTAACTTGACTGTTTGCTAAGTAAAAGTTGTGTCATAATATCAGCAAAACTTTTGAAATCTCGGTCTTCAATACAAACAACAGTGTTTGGACCCGTTTATCATCAGGACTTTTGACTGGGAAACGGGCCCCAATCCGCCCTATTTCCATGCATGGTGAAGCAGTGAAGCAGTGACCGTGGTAATTAGTTCACACATTCCTACGTACTCAACAGAGTAGTTCACTTGAACCTCACAGTTACTTTCCCTTGTCACTGTTATAAAAAATTGGAAAATACTATCCAATGCAAGAGTTCGATGATTTTCACAAAGTTTATCAAAATGTGCGTTGAAAGGCCACGAAAAAAAAAAACGGTTCGAGGGTGTTCCCTCTTCCCTAGTGCTTTGTGCTGCTCACTAGTGTTCATCCATTTTAAAAAAATTATAAGAAAAAATAAAAAAAACGTCTGTTTTTTACGTGCCCTTTCAACTTCCCCTATCGTTGTTGTCAATTCTCAGTATGAAAGGGCCAAACTTGGCCAGTATCCAGCAGAGTTAAATGGAATGATTTATCTGTTGTAAAGAGCTCATTTCGCGCTTGACTAATCCCAAACTTCGGTAAGAATGGCTCACTTTTGCTCCCTGGCGTTCGCATTTCCGTGGCCGCGGTACGGTCAAACCTATCAATAAGCA